TATATATATATATATATATATATATAGAAAAGAGACCTTTCGTCACCCTCACTTTATTTGACAGTTGTGTCGTTTTGATTTCAGAGTTATTCCATTTTACACAATCGTCTATCATATGCCGGTTGAAGAGTTCAGATGGTTTTACGCGGACTCTGCGTAACCTTCACAAGACACCATCTATCCTGCGCATGTGTTAATCGGCATCGTTCGATGTGACATAAACCTGTTCCAGTCCACCGTGTATTTCTTTTTATAGCTCAATATTAGTGAATGGTCAAGGGTGATCCGTAACTCGGACTCATCTTTTTGCTTTTTAATTACACCTATCCAGGATTTTGTTGTCTGAGCCTTCAAACTACCTTTGTGTTGTTTGGCAGCCGTGCGCCTAACCAATTGTTGTCTCCTCGTTTTAGGTCTGTTCAATGTTGATTCTATGGTTTTCTGCGCGTCTGTGGGAAACTTGTTGTAATGGATTCCTTCGACTTTGCTGACAACAACAGCAACACCAAAAACGATAAATATTACACAGATTTTGTTCCGACTAATTCGGCTTTGGCTATGTACAAGGCCGGCTCGCATTTGTACTGCTCAGAGGACATTGTTGTCAAGGGAAAACTGGGCAATGGATACTTTGCGTCAGTGTTTTTGGTTTGTCATCCATACTCGTTGTGAGTGTACTCCCACTGTATATATAGGTACATCACCGACCAAGCAATCAGCTAATGGCAATGAAACTAACCAAGGAAGCATCTGTTCAGCGTCGTGAGATTGAGTTGCTCAGTTCCGTGGATCACAAAAATGTTTTGCGGTTAGTGCGTGGATACCTTTTTACGTGTGATCTAGCACGACCAGTCTTTGTGCCCTCAGTGTATCTGTTTATAATTCTTCTCCTGTGGAGGTTCCCTACCTTCTTTCTCCATGGCCAAAAGATCTTCGTCTGTTTCTTCTGCCATCCTGTGTGTGCAATTTGGCTTACATTTAACTTCTCTTTGACGCACAAAGTTGCGGAAACCATATACTGCATGTTTTTTTTGCGACTTTACGTGTCCATCAGTCACTATCGGCGATACGCTGAACACCGTTGGTTCTGTTTCTTTTCCTGCCTAAGCTCATCTTTACACACTGGTATTCTTCCCTAGTACTTGATTCTGCAGTTGTCCTCTTCAAGTCAGAATCAAAAATCTTATTCGAAAGGAGCGTATTTTGACCGACTGATCGGCAAACGACGAACGAGAGCACGATTGGTACTGTCAACGAGTGTTGGGCAAATGTTGCTGTCCATGACTGCAACGGAGTTGATCCTGATACTGACGAGTATCGTGGTGAAGGGAAAGACGACTGAAATGATACCATCTATCGAAAAGGTATCCAACCCTCACAGCTTGATGGAGAAGAGCGTACATGTGACGGGAAGTATGCTCTCCGCTTTGGGATTAACATAAAGCCTCCAAAATATGTTCTACCGCGGAAATGGCATAGTTGACAGGGGTTGACCTAGGGGTCAGATTCGACTACAGAACTTACTAGCTGACTGAAGGTTGTAAATCAAGGCATCCCTTCATCAACATATTTCTGCCTTCGTAAGTTTGACGCTCAACGTGCTCCGGAGTAGGATTCGCCACTTTTGATCACCAGTCTGGACAGGACTACTCGTTTGTCATGGAGCATACTCTGTGTCCATCTGAGAATAACTCGACATAAGTGCCGCTTTTCGTAACAAAGTTTGCACTTGCCGCTGCTAAATATGCCTAAAGTTGTGCTGCAGGCACCTCAATCCGGGAAAACATCCAGCATCATCGACTGCGATGGCTCGGTCATGTGCTGCGCATGCCGAAACACCCTCTACCGAGACGAGTGTTGTTCTCCGTGCCTGCTTCAGGATGGCACAAACCGCGAGGTGGACAGCACATAACTTGGCAGAAAGGCGTGAAAGAGATCACGAGGAGTTT